ACCCTGGGGCACGTCGGGCGCTCGGGCAAAACCAGTAGTTGCCTGTGGAATCTGTTGTGGCCTGTGCTCCCCAAGCCCCTCCTCCGTGACTTGTGGCTCAGGATGCGCTGCTGGCTAGAAGGCACCGAGAACCCAGGTTGACTCCCTCTTCCTGCCCATTCCTCGTGCGGTCACTATTTAGCAGATCAAAATACAGGTGGCAGCGGCCACCTCTGTCACCCCAGTGACTCAGGAGGCTGAGGTGGGGGGTCTCAAGTGCAAGGCCCACACACTGTCTCTGAATAGAAAATAAAAGGGCTGGGGGTGGCTCCATCCCCGGGTCCCAAGCCAGAGAAACCAAAGACCCCCAGGCAGGACCCGGGAGGTGGGCTACGAAGCGCGTCCTTGTTYGAGAGTCCGCTGAGCTGGACGTCCTGCACTCTCCAGGAGGGACCGTGCCAGCCTCTGCCCCTTGAGCCCTCGCTCCTGGGGGCTCCTGTGTCCCTCTGGCATGTCCCCGTGGTGGTGGGATGGAGCACTCTGTTGCTTTCTGGCCCTGCTTACCTCGTGTCCAGGCTGTAGAACCCGCTGCCCTCCAGGGCTGGCCGCTTCAGCACAGCGGCACTCTCCCGCAGCGACTGCCCCGGGTTCCCGGTGCACGTCCATCTTCTGTGGCCCTGGAACTGGGAAGTCCTGAATGCAGATGCAGGCAGCTCCTGGGGCTCCGGGGACAATGCAGCCGATGACCCGGGTGACCCCACCTCCACTTCCCCCACGTGGAGTCCCTCTGGCCGTGGGAAATGATGTGTCCTCAGGTCCTGGGGCTGGAAGGGGACGCTGCTGGAGCTGTACTCCGTGGCCCATCATGGCCCAAGGTCTCCCCTCTTCTAGGTGGCCGTGGGGCCCCAGGGCTTTTGGGGCTGCCCTGCTCCGGACCCCGCGCCACTCTGAGTCGCTCAGCTTACCATCGCTATAGCAAGATACCTGAGTTAATTAGCAGATAAGGAGAAAAGGGTCTTTCCGGCCTCAGTGGTCAGCTGTCCCTGTAGCTTTGACCTGTGGCCAGTCAGGGCATCATGGTGGACAGACACCCTTCACCATAGGCCACGGCCACCCCCTGTGAGAGTCATGGGGACCCAGGTGCTCCCAGGCTGTGCCACCTCCAGTAGCCCACCTGGGGACGGGCCTGTGGGGGCCTGGGACGGGGAGCACAGCCCTCTGGCCAGCACCCTGAGCAGCACAGGGCCTTCCTGCTGCCCGGCTCCTGGTCCACCACGCTGACCTACACCTGGAGAAGATGCGTCCATCCAGGGCCATCAGGGACCGCGAGGTCTGTGGGCGGACTCCCTTCCCCCGCTCTCTCCAGGGTGTCTCCTGTTGACATCTCTATGTCAAACCCAGTGGGGGGGTGCCACTGGGCGCGGGGCACACTCCTGTAATTGGGAGGCTGAGGCAGGAGAATGCAGGTTCAAGGCCAGCCTCAGCCACTTAACAAGATCCTGTCCCCAAAAGTAACAGTGATAAAAAGGCTGGGGTGGGGCGCGGCGGTTAAGGGCCCCTGGGCTCAATCCCCAGAATCTGGAATCAGAAAGAATCGGCTTCTCCACTGAGCTGGCCTCCTGTGGCCCCGCGGCCTGTGCTGGGACTTCTGTCCTGCACCGTGTGGACTCGGAGTTCCACCATCATCGCAGTAAGTTCTGTTGGACATGATGGACTGCAGCATTCTAGAAGATTCCAGAAAGATCCAACGTGGAAGTCACCAGACACGTGTGGCTATGGCGTTTCAGCTGACGTGGACGTTCTGCTTGGCGGAGTGCAGTGTGTGCTGATGTGGACTTCCAGGGCAGGTGGACTCTGCAGGATGGGCGAGGACGAATGTGGGTCCCTGTGACCAGATCACCTCACGAGAAGAGAGCCGGGCCGGAGGCTGTGCCCCACCTGCCCACAGGACCACCCGGCACTCCCCACTGCTGAGGTCGCCAAGCCCCTCTGAACCCTTCCACACGGGGGTCACGTCTTCAGCTCTCCAGGGACACCCCTGGATCTGAACCCCGTGTCCCACTGAGGATCTGGATCCGGCGGGTAAGGCTGGAGAGGATGCCCGGGGTGCGACCTTTCTCCTTCCAGCCTCGTCCCCTCGGAAGGAGCCCTGTGGCCCTCTCCGGGTCCCTGCCACCTGGTCTCTGACTCAGCCCCGGGCCACCCCAACCAGCTGCACCTGCGAGCACACCTCCCGTCTGCCTCCTGAGCGCTGACCACCCCCACCGTCACCGCCCCTCCTTCTGCTTCCATCCCTCCCCCTCAGGCCCACCCAGGCGCCCACCCCCTGCCTGTCCACCGCCTGCCTCCCCACCCAGAAGGTAAGCCCGGAGGCCGCTCACCTGCTGGACTGTCCCGGGTGACTAAGGCCAAGCCCCATTTCACACATGTGCAGACTGAGGTAAAGAGTGAAGCCCAAGGTCCAGTGCCAAGAGGGGGCCGTGGTGGGACGCAGGGTGGGACTCCAGAGGCTGGACTGTCCCCCAAGCACAGGCACAGCCGGACTCCGTGCTGGAGCCTGCTGCTCCCAGGTCCAGGCGGGAGAACCCGGCTCTGCCCTCGGCTGGCCCGGGGGCCTGAGGAAGCCCAAAGGGACTTCACCCTGAGCAGCCCAGTCCCCGAGGGTCTGCGCCTGGGACACCGGGAAGAACCTGGGCCTTCAGCTTCCYTGAGCCGAACCTCTGTGTGAAACATCGGAATGGAAAAGAGGAAGAAACGGAGTGAGGAGCTGGTCTCCTCCCGGGACACTTCCCGGCCTGAGCCGCTCCGGCCTGCTCCGGCTCTCAGTGCTGGAGAGCTCACTGGCCGCCAAACTCAAAGGCAGGGATCATTTTCCTCCAGGCCTGGCTGGATCTAGGCCTCGAACCCCGTCTCCGAGAATCCCTCCGGCTCCCCCAGGGCCACGGTGGCCACAGGTGCCCAGCACCAGCCCCGCGGCCCCAGACAGGGGTCCTCAGACCAGCCCCAGGCCATGCCCTGGGCCTGTCTGTTGGCCAGTTGTCCAGCTGCCCCAGCTCTGTCCACACACCCGTCCTCCTGGCAGCCCGAGCCTGGGCCTAGGACCCTGGCCCCGTGTTCCTTCACTCCTTCCTCCCAGCACGTTCTGGGCTTGGTACGAGGATAAACCAGGYGCTTTACCACCGAACGCCGCCCCTGTCCTTTTTTAAGACAGGGTCTCCCTAGTTGCCCAGGCTGGTCTTGAACTTAGGATCCTCCTGCCTCAGCCTCCAGGGTTCCTGGGGATGACAGCAGCGTACCATTAGAATAGGCAAAAATAAATAAATCAAGGGAGAAAGGAGAGTGCTCCCAGTTCTGAGGGCCTCTCCCCCAGCCAGCCGCAGCCAGCAGACAAGTGGGCACAGCAGCTGGAGGCACAGCTGCCCAGCACGCCCGCCTCCTTCCCCTGGGGCTCAGACCTCTGAGTCCTCTCTTCAGGGCCCCTTCCTTCCACAGGACGCCCAGAACCTCCTCCTCTTAGCCTCCTGGGGAGGGACAGTCTYTTCCTGCCCAAGCTGCCCATGGTCAGCAGTACCCTCTCACCTGCTGCCTGCTGGCCACCCTCTGCCATTTGGCCCAGGCCTGACCTCAGCCCAGGCTGCCAGGGCTCCTGTGGCCGTGGCCCATGCTCCTTGCAGACTTGCGGGTCAGCCCTGGCCAGGACAGAGAGCCTCAGCTGGGCTGGTGGGAACTCCATCCTCCACCTGGAAGCTGAGGCCCAGCCCCAGGTGAGTACAGCTGCACTCTGGGGGCGCCAGGAGTCCCCCTGGCCTCTTGGGTGGGTCCTCCCAGGCTCTGCCTCCACACAGCTATCTCCCTCATAGGGGCACACTGGAGGTGAGGCCCCCCGACTCAGGGCGACTCTCTCTAAATCCTTAATCATATTTACACAGACCCTTTTCCCAAATAAGGCCACATTTGGAGCCAGGGGACATCTTTCCTGGGTGGCATTCCTCGCCACACTGCAGTGCCCCCAGCCCCCAGAACTAGGAGGCCGGTCCTAAGGGGTATCTCTGCCTTAGCGGGTGGTGGGGACAGGCCAGGGGTCCAGAGAGTGGGGCTCATCTCCACTGCTGCCACCCACAGCTCGTCGCTCCCGTGTCCCTGAGCCCCTCCCTCCAGGCCCCTTTCACACTCCTCACTGTCCTAGGGGGCTGTCCCCCAGGCCCTCCCCATGATCCACCCACCCTGGCCCTGTGCCTGATCCCTGGGACAGCACATCGTCTAGTTTCATGAGTCACGTGAGTGGTTCCACTGTCCACGGACCATCCACCTGGTGGCCACTCCTTCCTGACCCCCTGGGCTCAACCCACCCCTGAAGAGCTGCTTGGTGACCTGTGGGCTGCCCTTCGGGGGAACAGATGAGGAGAACAGGCCGTCACCGCATCCTCTGCAGACCACGAGGTGTTGTAGTCGATTCTCGGCCAGGACCTCCAGCCTGGCTCCCATCTAGACTGGCACGCCCCACTGTGGGGTGGGGCCACACACCTGGCCGCAGGGGAAGGCCTGCCTCTGCTGGTCCCTGGAAGCCAAAGCTGCCCCTCAAACCCCAGGGCCCTCAGCTGGACCCAGGCAGTGCTGGAGAGCCAGAGCCTGGGACCCAGAGCTGGGAGGAGCCAGGGCCAAGGCCACCCGCCCACACTCCACACACCGGACAGCAGGGCTCAGTGTAGTAAAAAGACTTTATTAAGAAGGCTTTGAAGTCAAAAAATAAAACTCTTGATACAATGTTTTTAACCTTTAAATCAGCTCAGCAAATATATAATCAGTAATTTAGCTGTGTAAGATTAAAGGTCCATTACTTCATTTAAAATAAAATATATTTTTTAGTTCTTAAAATTTATTCCATAAAGTACATATTTCCCTATAAATTCCCTACATATACACAAGAGGTAAAAAGTAAAAGTTAAAAAAAAAACTTTTAAAAATTTAAAAAATGACAAGAATCACAGCAGGAATGGGATTCATAATTTTAAAAAAAAGAAACCTCTGGGTGAGACACCCCGGAACCCCACCCCCGCCCGGCCCCACTGAGTACAAAACAGCAAATGTTTGCCCCAAAACGGGAGTAGAAATGTCACCCACCCCTTCCTGGGAGTGCCTGTGTGTGTAGTCGCTGTCAACCCCGGACAGCTACTGACAAAGGACCAGGGCGGTTGTAAAAATCCTTGTTTTGTTTGCTGGGACCCCCTGGGAGGGGTGTCTTAAATAAAAAGTGCAAGCAGACCTTTTCTCTCCGTTTTATTTTAACCTGTCCACTCAATACTGTCATTTGTCAAGAACTGAGGTGCTGCAGCTGGGCCGCCGGCTGGCCGTCTCCACACCTGGCCGAGGAGTTAAAGCTGTCTCTGGACTCTGGCTGGCCCCTCGCGGCCCCTCCTTCGCCCCTGCCCCACGCCCATCACGCCCCCCCCCCTCCGCTCATGTCCACCCCAGCACCGCCAGGCGGCAGCYGTGGGCCTGGTGGGGAGGCCCCGGCCCCGGCCGAGTGCGCACTAAGAAAAGATATGAATGGCCTGGGTGGCCGGCGTGCGGCACGCCGGGCACTCCGGCTCGCTCTTGCCGCAGATGCGAACYGCGCAGTCCATGCAGAAGAGGTTGTGGCCGCAGGGCACCAGGGCGGCCATGGCCTCGCCCTCGGCGCACACCACGCACTCCCGCGCGGGGGCGGTGGTGGGTGGACCAGGGGCCCCAGCGGCAGCGGAGAGGGCCACTGCTGCGGCCCCGGAGGAGGTGGAGGGCTTGCGGTTGCTGTCGGTGGCGCTGGAGTCCAGGACCGAGGAGGCCGAGGCACTGCTGGGCAGTGAGGTGGCTGCGGAGAAGCTGGCGCTGCTGGAGAAGGGTGGCAGGGAGGTCTGGGAGGGCCGCCAGGGCAGGGCACCCACCGGGTCCGGGGCGCCGCGGCGGGTCAGCGGGAGCTCCAGGCCCAGGCCTCCAGGCTCAGGCAGCGTGGGCGAATGGCGCGGGGTGCCCGCAGCACTACTGCGCCGCGCCCCCGTGGAGGCGGGCGCTGGGGCCCCGTTGACGGCCGCGCAGCCACTGAAGGCTGGCAGGGGCGCGGCCCGCTCGAAGGGGGCCCAGATGGTGGCTGCCGCCGGCACGGTCAGGTCCAGTGCCAGGAAGTCAAAACCAAAGTCACAGTCCTCGGGGGTGGCCGTCCCTGTGGGGGCTCCAGCGCCATCCGCACCGAAAGTGAAGCCCCCATTTCCAGAGCCGCCATAGGGGCTGGCGGGGCCCGTGTCTGGCACTGGCGGCCCTCCACGGTTGCCCGCGTAGAAGGCCTCGGGGGTGCTGGGGGCGCCCAGGGCACTGTCCCCGCGGAGGCCGCTGGTAGCCGTGGGGGGCCTCCGTCCCGGGTGGGGGGCCTTGGCCCAGAGGCTGGCAGCGGCCCCCAGCAGGTCCAGGCAGACGTCGGTGCCGTTGGCGTGGAAGTCGCTGTCGGGGCCGGCTTCCGTGAAGGCGCCGGTGCGCAGCGTGATGTGCGCCTCGATCTCCTCGCGGGCGCGGTCCACGTTCTCGGGCATGCCCGTCACCGCGAACACTGGCTCCTTGTCGCGACCAGGCGTCACGATGTACGTGTGCGTTCGCTGCTGGATGCGCTTGATCGTGGCGCCCTTGGGCCCCACTACCAGCCCTACCACACGGTAGGGCACGCGCACCTGGATGGTGGTCTGTCCTGGCAGGTTGGGTGGGCCGGGGGCAGTGCCGGGCAGCCCACCCGCCTTGCTGCGTGTGGCGCGGATCATGGAGAAGTGCTCAGCCGCTGACAGGATCTCCCGCTTGGCCATCTCCACGTCCTCCTTGCGGCCCGTCACAATGAACACCGGCTCCTCCCCACGCACTGGCGTTTTGATGTACGTGTTGGTCTTGGCGCGCAGAGCCTTGATCTTGCACCCTGCAGGGGGACGGAGACCCAGTGACCCAGGGCCATCTGCCCAGGACAGCCTGGTGGGAAACTGGATGCAGGGCCAGTGAGCATGCCAACCCGGAGCCCCTCCCTGACTCTCCTGATGCCCCATGTCCCTCCCACCCTGAGCCTCAGTTTCCCCTGGACTGGAAGGGTCGGCAAGACTGCAAAGAGGACCCTGCTGTAGGGGTCTCATAATCCACTGACCCTCTGTGGACTGTTGTGGTCTGAATGGACGCCTCCTGAGAGACAGTGCTAAAGTGGGACCTTCATTGGGAATGGAGGCACCCTCCTGAATAGGACTGGTGCTCCCCTGGACCTTCAGCTCTGTGAGGACACTCAGAGGGCATGACCTGTGAGGTGCCAGCCCTTGGGAGCCACCAAGTCTAAGGGTGCCTTGCTCCTGGACTTCTCAGCTCCCAGGGCCTAAGCAGTAATTTCTGTCCTTCAGAGCTGCCCACCTGAGGGTCTGCCACAGCAGCAGGCACATTCATACTATTGCAGTGACCTCACTGTGCCAGCAGGGTCTCTGCAGATGTGGTTGGTTAAACTGAGGTCATCCTGGATAGAGCAGGGTGGGCCCTAATCCAACATGACCCGTGTCCTTAGAAGACACAGCCAGCCAGTGAAGACAGAGATGGGGCGAGCGTTCTGCAAGGCAGCAACTCCAGCAGGAACACACTGGGCACCGGAGAGGCAGGAAGACCCCCAGAGCTCAGGGGGCGGCGCAGCCTGCCCACCTTGACCTCAGACTTCTGGCCCAGTTCATTTCAGTCACTGAGTTACGTCAGCATCAGGAAATGAACACAGAACCTTGACACCAACTCCCTGTTCAAAGTGTGGTGAGAGTCTCAAAATGTGGAGACCACTTAGGATTGTCCTCCAAGGGCCCTCCCTAGGCTTCCAGTCCCCAGCCAAGGGGAGTGGCTCCTGGGCCATGATTCAGGACCCCTTGAGAGGCCCATGTGCCTTTGTCACTGCTGGGGGAACTAGGGGCCCAACCCCACAGGAGACAAGACAAGAGACTTTGATCATGGCATGCCACCCCATTGTCTGGGCAGCCCTGGGCATGTGGCCTGCCTAGGCCTGGACATCCCTCCCCACCAGGACCACGAGGCTCTGTCAGGCATCTCCTGCCTCAGCCCAGGACTGGGGCCAGGCCCTCTGTCCTGGGAGGCAGAGTCCACAGGGCATGCTGCTCTTGTATCAGCAGGGGCCGCAGAGGGCAACAGTGTTGCTTGCGTCTCCAGGAGCGAGATACAAAATTAGCAGGACCACAGGGTTTGACAGGGAAGAAGCCACCCAGATGGCATCTGGGTCAGAAGATGGGACAGCAGGGCCTAGGGCCAGTGGTCACAAGTGTTCAGTGGGGGCCACTAGAAGGTGGCAGAGGCAGACCAATCTGAGGAGGACAACAGGCCCTCAACCCAGGGCTTTGAGCAAAGGCTGGACTGGGAAGGGGAAGTCCCACACCTCCCAGAAAGGGTGGCCAGCTCCTGCTACCTCCTGAGTACAGGCCGCTCCCTCTGCACCCAAGTCCTTCCTGGCAATCTGCCCCTCCCCCAGGACCACCAACCTGGCTCGGTCCCATACCTCAATAGCCCTGCTCCTCATGCCCTACTCCYCTGTCCCCCCTTCCCCTGCTCAGATCACAGCCCAGCACCCCCTCCTCCAGGAAGCCAGTCCTGTCTGGTGGGCGCCCCCTCCCCATACCCGGCTTCCTGCGCTCCCCCGCGCTCCCGGCTGGGCACTGCGCAGCGAGGGCGCATTCTAGGAACCCTTTCCAGGCAGCAGGAGCACGCCTGGCCTCATGGGCTCAGGGCAGGCTCGGAGGGCAGCAGTGGTTTGTGGCCCAGGTGTGCACTTTGAGAGGGGAGGAGTAAAGGTGCAGAGAAAGGGTGCAGAATTCACCAGGGTGGGGCTTTGTGGCTCTGCAGGGACTTGGACCGAGCCTCCTGGGTCTCACTGGGATGGATTCTGGTTCGGGGGTCCTTCCATCCTGACCTCCCTCCCACCCGCCCAGCTGGAGGGCACCTCACATGACCTCAGCCTGGCTTGGGCTGAATGAGATGGCAAGGTGCAGGGTGGGAGCAGCTGTGGACGGATGGCAGAGAGGCCAGGTGAAGGGGGTGTGGCCAGGCTGGGAGCCAGCAGCTTCCCGGGCCTGCCCCRCCTTGCCCTGTCCCAGATGGCAGGCTTGGGTGGAACCCGTACGGCCACAGGGTCTCAAGGAGAGAACCCAAGCCCAGTTTGCCAACTGAGTGCCATCTGCTTCAAATCTCACCCTCTAAGACGCTGTGCATGGCAGGGTTGGACCAGGAGGCTCACCAGTGCCATGACATTGGGGCTACAGGGTGGGCAGCAGCACCTCTGCCCTCTGGCGCAGTGAGGCAAAAGTGGGTGGTGGCAGGGGGTGAGCCTCAGGCCTGGGCGTCCTGGGAGCTACCAGGAGTCAGTGGGGGCAAGGCTGATGTGCAGATTCCTGGCCCTGCCCCAGATTCCAACTCTGGTGATCATGCCAGAGGCTAACCCATGTCCTGACCTGYCCCCGTAGCCCCCACCATCCTCTCTTTGCTGTGGCCAGTCCTATTCCCACAAAGGCAGGGCCAAGGTCCCACACAGGGCCTAGACCAGGGGCATGGCTCAACTGGCCCAGCTCTGGGCATGCTTGGCACAGCAGGCCTGACACAGGGGTCTGCAGGGTACAACAGGCACAAGGCAGCGTGCCCCCAACACCACAGCACCATCGCCAGCCCCCAGAGAAGCACACAGGTATGGGGTGGGGGCCGGCCACGAGCCCTGGGGTGGGACGGGCACAGGCATGGGGAGAAGAGTGGGCATCTGGACCTCCCCTTAGCTGAGGAGGCAGTCTGAGGCCACTGTCCTCTGCTTGGGACAATGGCAGAGAGGGAGGAATCTGGTGGCTTCTGTTCCAGCCCGGCAGACCCTGGTGGTCTGAGCACCCACCCACAGCCAGGAGGGGTCTTGTCTGGGAACTGGCAGAGGGAGGCAGCCACAGGGCACAGACATGCAGAGGGCGGTCAGCAGGCAGCTGGGAGGGTCTCAGATGGAACCCGCAGGGAATGTGCAGTGGTCCCTGGGTGGCCTTCGCTGACCCACTGGGCGTCTCCACTCTCTCTGCAGGAAGGCTCCAGTTCCTCCCTGACCCAGCCCTGCTCACAGGGTTGGAATCCACCCCTGTGGACCCTCACTCTGGCCTGCCCCTCTCCACGTGTGACCAGCGACTCCCTCCCCTCTAGACCTGGGAAGCAGCAAGGACCTTCTGTGGGACACATTGACAAGGCAGGACAAGTGCGGCCAGCAGAGGCGAGACTCATGTTAACCGTCTAGGCATGCCAGGTGTGATGGCCATGCCTGTGATCCCACCTCTCTAGAGCCTGAGGCAGGAGGGGCACAAGTTTGAGGCCAGCCTCAGCAACTTAGTGAGGCCCTGTCTCAAATAAAAAATAATAAGGGCTGGGGCGTGGCTCAGTAGTGGGGGGCCTGGGTTCAGTCTGCAGCATGTCCTGCCCCCATGGTACAGATCTGGCAGAGGAAGAAGAGGAAAGTACCCTCTGCCCAGGACCTCAGCTCAGCAAACAGAGAACTGGGGGAAGGGGTGATGATTGTGCTGTGTCCAGAAAGCCCTGAAACCCATTCAAGGACTCAGACCACAGGCTCAGGGAGAGCACCTGACAGGTGTTCCTCTCCTGCCCCCCACAGGAGGGTGGCATGAACTTGGGGTTTGACAGGAGCCCCAGGATGAAGAATGGGGTACAGAGCAGAGAGACAGAGTGGGCAGAACTGAGGCACAAAGGACTATTGGACACCCTGGAGAACGAATATGGGGGGAGTTGGGAGCCACAGATGGTTCTGAAGCTTGGGAGGGGCGGACTGCTGAAGCTGACATCCTGTCCTGGCACTAAGGGTTCCCTCCCTAGGGCCCTGTTCCCACTTATGGGGCAGCTAGTGTGTGCACCCTGAGCTGGGATCAGAAGCAGCATCTTGTTGAGCACCTCAAGACAACCCCATGGGCAGTGCTATCTCTAGCTCAGAGAAGGCCTCTCTGCTCGGGATCAGGGGACCACTGCAGCATGCAGGGTGACTGCTCAGGGCCCACTGTACCCCAGGGCCACCTTGCTCTCTGCTGCCTGCAAGATCCCAGCCTGGCACCAGACAGAGGGGTGCCAAGTGTACATCCAGGAGATCAGGCCAAACCTGGTGCTCCAGGTGGGCTCCCCATGACCCTGCCTCTAAAGAATGTTCAGCCTGAGATCCTGGGCCAGATGCCCTCTGCCTGACTCCAACTGGAGTGGACATTTAGGCAGCAGAACCCATGCTTTCACAGAGAACATTCCTCCCCTGTCCCCCAGGGCTTGCCTGGTGGGCTGGGCAGAAGACCCCAGACCTGGGCTGCATGTCTGTTCCCACAAGCTTTTAGACACCGGGCACAAAGGAGCTGGCCGTGGGCCTKAGGGGAAAGGCAGCAGGGACATGAAGACAGCAGTCCTGCCCAGGGTCTCGCCGTCTGGGACAGCAGGGCTCAGAGAACTACCTGACCCACTCCCTCATGATGGCCCCTAGGCCCAGCACAATGCCTGACCCTCAGTGTGTCCCCACACAGGGTGGACAAATGAATGAGAGAAAGACAAAAGGGCTTGCTGGCCAACTGGTCTACCCACCTGGAACTAGGGAAGGGCAGTGCAAAGGTAGGGCATCCTGTGGTCCCCTGCCTGCATCTAGGGTGCAGGTGACCTTGCAATTCAAATCCCCCACACCCTTCTCTGGCTCTGTTACTGAGAGTCCAGAGGCTGCCCCCCTCCAGCCTGATGTCTGGCAGCCCCACCTCCAGCCCTACCTGGCCCCACCCTGAGTTCTAGAACCTGGCTGATCATAGGCGGGCAGCAGGGAGCTGAGGGCAGGGAGGGGCAGGTGGAAAGGAGAAGAAAGTTGGGGCCAGTGGGGTGGTGGGGGTGGTGGGGCAGGAGGACAAGGCCGGAACAGGGGCAGTGGGTGTGTGCTGGGGCTGGGCACTGCCCACCACCCGCCTGCCCGCCCCACAGCTAGAGGGCCAATGAGCATCGGCCAGCCTGATGTCACCCTGCAAATCTAGCCTGGCTCTCTAACAAAGAGAACAATGGGGCGGGCAACAGGGACGCTCTGACAATGCCGCTGCCCGGACCCCCACACCCTGGGCCTGCCCAGTGCCAGCCTGCCAAGGAGGGTTGTGGAGGTGCCCCCAAAGCAGCTTCTGCAGCTGTCCCGTCCATGAGCCAGGTTGCCTGACTCAGGGTAGAGAGCGGGTCAAAGCATCCTCTCACATCCACAGGAAGTGAGAGCAGCCCACCAGGAAGGGGTCCCCAGACTGGGGGTGTTGGGATGCTCCCTCTCTGCTTTACCAGATTTCCCTCCTTGACCCTGCAGGCCCTCCCTAAGCCACCGCCAAATCTGAGCCTGCCGCGCCCCACGGCTCTGGCTGGGATAAAGCGCCCACCGCCCAGCCCGGGCCAGGTTCCCAGACCTGTCTTGGGGTGTCCCTGCGGGCTGCGGGGGCCCTGGACAGCCGCTGCAGGCATAACCCTGTACTGGCTGCAGTCGCCCAGACAAAGGCGGCGGCGGGCCTGAGAGCGATGGGAGGAGCGCAGGCTGCGCCCAACTTTCTCCCAGGGCCGGCGGCTGGACAAAAGCAAAGGCGGCCACTCAGGCCGGAGCCCACGCGGGGCGTGTCCAGTGTTCAGCCGGGAACTGGGCTGTGGAGACCCCCTCCCTGGGACAGGCGGTGCCCCTGACGGCGGCCACTCACCCTGGCGACCTACGATCTCGGCGACATGCTCCGAACTGGGCACCGGCACGCACTCGGTCATGTTCACGCTCTTCTTGCGGCTGCCAATCACGCTCATCTGCTCCGCCAGCAGCGTCGGGGGGCCCAGAGCCGCGGGATGGGGCGCGAAGCCGGCGAACACGTCCGGCGGCGACGGCCGGGGTGGCGGCGGAGGGGGGCTCACGTCGGGCTCCAGCAGCGGCAGCGCGCCGGGGACCACGACGGGCGCCACGGCCAGGGACGCGCCGGCCTCGGGCCCGTCGGGGGTCGCAGGCTCGGCCTCCCCGCCGTCCGCGCCGCCCGCCACGCCGTCTCCCCCGCCCGCCGCCGGCCCCTCTTCCTCCGGGCGGCCGGCGGACCCCAGCCCCAGCGCGGACAGCTGGTCCAGCGCCAGGCGCAGCGCCGCGGCCGCGTCGTCGGGCTCGGGCGGCGGCCGGGGCGCGGCCTCTTCGGCGCCCGGGGGCGGGGGGCGCGGGCTGGGGTCCCCGCCGGTCGCCGCCCCCGGCCCGCCGCCCCCGCCGCCGTCCGGCTGGCCGGTGGAGCCGGGCATGGCGGGCGCTAGCGCTCGGGCCCGCGCTCCTGCCGCTCGGCCGCCGGCCGCCCGCGCCGCCGCCCGCGCCGCCCTCCGCCTCTGCGAGCTCGGCCGCCGGCCGCCGGCATCCAGCGGCGGGGCGGGGGCGGCCGGGCGGGGGCGGCGGCGCGGGGCTGCTCGGGCCGGGCCGGGGGCGGCCGCGACTCTCTGCTGCTCGGCGGGCTGCGGCGGCTCCTGGCGGCCGAGGCGGCGGCGGCGGCGCGGGACGCTCCTGCCCTCCCGCCGCCCGCCGCCCGCCTCCCGGCCGCGYGCCCCGCCCCACCCCGCCCCGCCCTTCGACGTCACCGCGGCCAACAATGGGCGGCTGCAGCGCGCACGCGCGGGCCGGGCCGGCGGTCACGTGGCAGCCCCGCCCCCGCCGTGGGCGCGGACCCGGGCGCTCGCACGTGCGGGCGCGCCCGCGGGTGGCGGTGCGTGGGGCTCCGGCCCGAGTCTCCCCCGCTGCCGTCGCTCGGGCTTCCCGCTACCCCGCGCCTGCCAGCTCTCCTGGTGCCAAGGACCCCTGTCCGCGCGCGCCCCGGGTCTCGGGCTCCTCTTTCCGAGTTCCTCTCGAGTCCGTGCCCGGCTTCCGAGGCAGGCGCGCTCCTACTCGCCACCACTGGGAAGGTCAGCGCCGGATGGGGGCGGCTGTGTACCCAAGCCCCAAACCTCCGCCTGGGTGATGCTCCGTGGGTGGAGGGCCTCCCACCAACCCTAACCCCAGGCCCACCCTTTCTGAGGTGCCCTGTGCAGGGGAGGTGGCCCTGCCTGTGGGTTCTGAGAGCAGCCTGGCGTGTCCACCTGCAGAGCCACCCAGTGCCAGGTGCCCTACCTTCAGCAGCCTCGTGGGCCTGCTGGGCTTCCGTGAGATTTCTCCTGGTGGATGGAATAGAATAAACCCCACCCCCACCGTGGCTGAGGGTGCACCCTCGGGCCAATTGCCTGGCAAGTCTGGGTTCGTGGGGGCAGCCTTGCCTGTCCTGGTCCTCCATCTTTCCATCTCCTCTCCCAGCTGCGAACATCCACAAAAGATTGTCCACCACTTTTGGTCACTTCTCTCTACACAGTCATCAACACAGGTGCCCGTCAGAATATCGATGAAAGTCCTGGCACTAACCTCGGTAGGTTCCTCTGCCCAGAGCCCTCCTCCCTGCCATGAAATGTCATTCCTGACCCCTGTCCAGATACAGCCCAGTTCCTCTACTGGGGTCCCACACTTGTGTTTCCTGCACTCCAGCATTTGGGATTGATAAGTACTTTCAGATACTTCATGTCTAGCCCCTTCCCCATGGGACAGACCCAGTCCCCGGGCTTCCGGAGACAGACTGACATCCTCACTCCCACTCTCCTCTGTGGCCCAGTCTCCACACAGAAGCTTCCACCTGCAGCGGCTGGTATTCAAAGCCAGAGGCCCAGCTGCCCAGCTGGGCACCAGGAGCTACACCACAGCCTGCACTGGACTGATCCTGTGGGGTGCTGAAGTGAGGGAGCAGGAGGGCTAGGTGGAACAGGACAGAGTGCCAGGCTGCTGGCCGCAGGCGGGAAAGCTGAGACCAGGGTGGTTAGAGTGCACAGGCATTCCTCAGAGAGCCGGACCCTGCCAGCCCCTAGCATGAGTTCCAGTCTGTCCAGGACTCAGGCTCTGGGCCTTCCCTTCCTGCCTCCTTTTCTGCCTGCCGGTTGCCCCACCCAGGTTCCATGCACACCTCCTGCCTCTGAGGGATTGGGGGTGGCTTCCAAAGAGGGGGCATGGGAGTTCTTATGGAGGAGGAAGTTGGGTCTTGGGGACAGAGTGCCTGACCAGATCCATCGCTGCACTTCCCACCACGGCCTGGGAGTGAAGAACAGGAGCAGAGGGCCACACCTGCAGTCCCAGTGCTGCAGGCTGAGGCAGGAGGGTGGCGACTGAGTGAAAGAACAAGGGCTGGAGGTGTGGCTCAGCGGCGGAGCCCTCTAGACTAACCTCCAGCCGCGGTAAGGAAAAAAGTTCAAGGTTCAAGATGGGCCCTCATGTTCTTTTCTTTCCTCCTTTTATTTTCTTCTGGTGTGGAGACGGAACCCAGGGCCTCACCATGCTAGTCAAGTGCTCCACTGCTGAGACAGGGTCTTGGCTAAGTTGCCAGTCTGCCCTTGAACTTGCCATCCTCCTGCCTTTGCCTTCCCAGCAGCTGTGATGACAGCTGTGGCCACTGCACCCGGCTCCTGGTCATCTCGATGAAGCTGGGTGTTGGCATATGAACTTCACTGGGTCTGATGTGTGTTTGAAACCTTCCATATTAAAAAAAAATCATTTTTAAAAAGTTTTAGGAAAAATCCTTTGAGAGATTGGTTTGGAAATGTTTGTGGATGAAATAGCATCAATACCCCTGCCCATTGGGCACGGGTGGACATAGGGTGGAGTCCAGGTGGAGATAGTGAGGAGGCTGCTGCAGGTCCATGGGGGTGGCCAAACCCTCACAGTATGTGTGGTACTAGGGACTGAACCCCAGGGGCTCTACCACTAAACTACAGCCCAGGTTTTCTTGTTGGAGCCAGGGTCTCCCTGAGTTGCTGTGGCTTTGGCCCCTCCTGCCTCAATCTCCCCAATGGCTGGAGTGACAGTCTTGTGCCACTAGCTTGGCTGGCCTCTTTTCTGTATATGTAAAATCTAACTGGGGAGGGGCTGGGTTGCAGCTCAGTGGTAGAGTGCTAGCCTGGTCTGTCCAAGGATCTGGGTTTAGTCCTTAGCACTGCAAAAGTTAAAAATACGGAAAAAAGTAGACAAGGAAGAAAAGCATATTGGGGGCAGTGGTGCATGCCTGCAATCCCAAGGGACTGAGGCAGAAGGGTGGCAAGTTCCAGGCCAACCTTGGCAACTTAGCAAGATCCTGTCTCAAAATAAAAAGAGCTGCCAGACAATGCTGTTCTCCTATGATCCTGGTGATCCGGGGGCTGAGGCAGGGGAGTCACAAGTTTGAGGACATCCGGAGCAACTTAGACCCTGTCTCAGAAATTAAAAGGGCTGGGTATGTGGTTCAGTGGTTAAGTGTCCCTGGTTCCGTCCCCTGTACCTCCACCCCACATACAAAAAAAGGCTGGCAATGCTAATTTTTTTTTTTTAAGAGAGTGAGAGAGAAAGAATTTTTAATATTTATTTATTTATTTTTAGTTCTCGGCGGACACAACATCTTTGTTGGTATGTGGTGCTGAGGATCGAACCCGGGCCACACGCATGCCAGGCGAGCGCACTACCGCTTGAGCCACATCCCCAGCCCGGCAATGCTAATTTTCATCATGAGGACTTTAGTAATATTTATGAGGACTTGAAAGGGAAAAAATCCTATATACTTGTAGTATTTTTTTTCTTTTTTTTTTTTATTATAGTTGTAGATGGACAGCATGTCTTTATTTTATTTGTTTATTTATGTGGTGCTAAGGATCGGACCCAGTGCCTCACACAAGCCAGGCAGGTGCTCTGCCACGGAGCTACAGTCCCAGCCCCTGTACTTGTAGTATTTATTTTTGTTTTGTCCGTTTGTTTTTTATTTTTGGTAGGGGGATTAAGCCCACGGGTGTTTTCTACTGAATCACAAATCTGAGTTGCTTTGTTTCTTGCTAAATTGCTGAGGCTGGCCTCCAACTTGTGGTCCTCCTGTTTCGGCCTTCTGAGCTACTGGGATTACAGGTGTACACTACTACACCTGGTTATTACTTACAGTTTTAAAAGTATTAGGGCAAGATGGTAATAAGGAAGAAAGAATGTTGAAAACAGCGTTTATTGCATATAAGGTGTCTTCAAAAACAGTGGCTTCCAGGAAGTGCACTGGAAGCCAGATCTCAGCCCAGGGCCTCGCACATGGCTCTGGGTGATCAGATGCCTGGAAACGGCACCTGGAAGATGCTCAGGAAGGCTCATGGGTTTATTTTTTTTGTGGCTACAGACTTTTTTTTTTGGTCATCTGGTGGTGTGGGACCCAGGTKTGGGACCCAGTGGACCCCACCAGCATGGTGCTGTCCTGTCCGGCCCCGCCCTGGCCCCTCTTCTGCATGGGTGCCTAAACCCCAGCTCTGTGCTCACTCCTGGGGCAGGTTCCTGGCACTCAGCCTAAATTTATTTTTGTCTCCCCCCAAGAYTCCCAGCCAAAGCCAGGTGTGGTAGCCACGCCTGCCATCCTCGTGACTTAGGAGAGGCTGAGGAGGAGGATGGCAARGTCAGTCAGCTGGCCTAATCCCCACTACAAAGCCACCACCACAAACCGGAGGCCATGCATCTGAGCCCCTTCCCAGCTCCAGATGGCCTCTGTGGGCGCCTGCTGCTGGCTGTTGTCCCACACCGGCTGCCTTCAGGCCCCACTTGCTCCACCCAGACTGGTCTCAGCTCTAGGGCTGGAATCTGGAGACAGGCTTCAGGTTCCCTGAGTCTTAGAAGGGGGGGCGGGGATTGATTCAGATATATAATTGACATACATCAAAATTCTCTCTTTTAAAAGTAGACAGTTGTGCAATTTTGGGGACATTCCAGACTTGTCAGGGCTGGGGTTAGGCTCACAGGTGCTGGGCTGCACCCCAGGGAGGGCAGAGGACAGGGGAGGGAGCACTGGGAGCCCAGGCTCCTGTTTTGCCTGCCGCAGGGAGGGTTGGTGCCATCGTCCTCACTTCTCCCCAAACTGACTGTGCCCAGCTGAGGCGCCTCAGCCCCCCAGGAGAGGGTGTGAGTGCAGGGGATGGGGCAGTGGAGCACCCAGGCCCTGGCTGCTGCTGCACAGTGCAGGCTGGGTGGGGTTGGCGCCAGCTGCTCTCTGAGGGGCACTGCTACACAGCAGTGGGTCCTGGTCAGGGGGTCCCAGCACCCCAACATCCTGTAGCAGCCAGGTCTGGCTTGGAGGGGCCAGTACAGGTGGACATCACAGCCAGGCAGGAGGAAGCGCTCAGGCTCCATGCACAGGGCCTGCCTGCCTGGCCTGCTTGACACTCTCAGGCTCTATGTCCACTCCCAGAGCCCACTTCTGGATGCAGAGTGTCCCCTCTAACACTGGACTGTATCTTCAGGGCCCACTTGGGCCCTGTGGAGAAAGGAGAGCTCAGGAGGGACCCTGAGCCCGGACAGGAGGCGACAGCTGGTGATGGATGGACTGAGGGCGAAGGGGCCAGTGAGGAATCGGGGTTGGGCCACCTTCACACTCATGAGGGGGGACCTGGCCCTGTCTCCCGGCTGCGCACACCTCTGAGGTCAAGTGAATGACCAGCCTCACAGGGGCAGAAGGGCAAAGGGAGAGCCATCTGGTCACCAAGGCCCTGCCCAGAGGGGGATGGGGACAGAGCCCTGGGGTCAAGAGGGGTCTTGAGTGCCATGGAACCGAGCAGATGCTCTGGAGAGGCCGGCGCGTGGTGGAGCGTGGTCTCCCACCTTTTCCTGGTCACGCAGTCTGGGGTTCGGGTGGCCACTGAGGGCCTGGGTTGGGCGGGAACCCAGGGTCCAGGTGGGCAAGACCCTAGGGTGCTGTAGCCCCAGGGACGCTCCTGGCGCAGATCCTCCTTTTCCATTTCTTCTGGTGTGTGGGTCTGTCCTCACTGGGCGGTGGAATGAGACCTGTGACCCTGTGCCACTGGATGGCATCAAGGTGGGCCCTAGGTGACAGCTCCTCCAGCCTGAAGGGTCCTGAGGTACCCCCCTGCAGATGCCTTTCTGGCAACTTCCTACTGTTCCTTAATGTTTGAGAATGGAACCCAGCGTCTCGCACGTGCCAGGCGAGCACTCTACGCTGAGCCCAGCCCGACTTCCTGCTTTATGTGCCACGGTTATCCCGGGGTCCCAGGTGCTGGCAGGGTTGGGGGCCTGTGAGCCCCACGGCCTCCCTCTCATCATCCACTGACAGGTGTGAGTCCAGGGACCCTGGCCCCGCACGGAGAAGTCCCGGACCCCCAAAACCAACACAAGGCTCCACACCACCTTCTTGGAAGTGTCTTTATTCAGGTACAGTGCCCACTGCAGCTGTGTCCCCTACCAGGCAGCACCCCTGGCCTCAGGGTCACAGCAAGCACTGAAGCCATCATCCTCACAAGAACCCAGTGCCAGGAAGAGGAGCTGGCCCCACAGGAGCTCCCCTGGCAGCCTCGTGGGAGACTGGCCCCGTCTGGCAGCCCAGGGAGTGAGCAGTCTTCCTGTGCCAAGGGTTTGTGCTTTGAAAGGTGACAGCATCAACCTGGCACCCCAGGCCATGGCCCTGAGGGCAAGGGGGACAATGCGGGTCTAACAGTGACCTTAGTAGGGGATCCCACAAATGAAGGGGTCCCTTCTTCGGCCATCATACCAGGCTCAGCCCCCAACTGCCAGGGGTAGTGSTGGCTGAGCCCCAGGGGGAGCCAAGAAGGTGCTGGCCTCCCTCTTGTCCAGCCTGAGAGTGACCACATCCTGGCTGGGGCAGCAGGGGAGCCAAAGGACAACTAGTGCTGTGAGCATCAGGGCGATGGAGGAAGAAGCAGGGCCTAACTGGGCCCGGGCACCTCCAAGTCACAGCAGGGGTGGTAGGGGTATCCAAGCAGTGGCCATTCCCTTTGCCACTGTGCCACCACATTACTCTCAGRGGTGGCTATTGTGGGGGCCACACCCAAAGGGCCAGCTCATTTCTCTGCAGCTGGACTAGGGATCTCCCTGGCACCGCAGGGGAACCTGGGTGTAGCCTGGGTGCTGCCAAGCACCTGCACCGAGGCAGGGCAGCGGGTTTCAGAAAGCTGTCCCCATCACCTCTGCTGGTGGCCAAACAAAGGGTCAAACAGCCAAGTTCCAGCCCCATTTGTATCATCGATTTATTGAGGGAAGTGACCTCCTAGGTGGCTGCTGGCTCTCGGATGCCCTCACTGGGGTCACCGGCCCTACCCAGCTGGGTGGCAGCGCAGGACCATGGTCACGATGCTGGCCCAGAGCAGTGCTGCTCACACTGCACTGGAAGGAGGTGGAGCTGTGTTTCTGGAATATTTCCCTGGCTCCTGGACATGGCAACCGAAGGACCTCTGTGTGACCAGCTCCAGGGCACCGAGGGACGGGTGCGTCTGCTGGCACCTCTCCCATGTGGAGGAGCTTGGGGCAGAGACCACGGGGACAGGCTGGGGCACCACAGGCCCGAGTCCACACGCGGGGGCCCCCAGGCCCCCAGAGAAGAGCCATGATGGAGGGTCCACCAGGCAGGGCTGCCCTCAGGCGCCCCGTGTTGAGGCCCAGGGGAGGAGGGGCTGCCCTCCTCCCAGACTGTGCCTGACTGCTGAGCCTGGTCCCCAGTGTGGCCCAGGGCCAAGTCTGTAGGTGGCCGTGTAGAGGCGAGCTGGTGGCCCTGCAGCACAGGGCTCTCAGGCAGGGCGTCTGCAAAGGATGGGGAGGGGACGCCGTCAGCAAGGTGACTTGGGACAGGAGCAGGCCTGGCGAGGCGTGCTCCCAGCTGCCACCTGCACACCAGGCTGGGGTGCTCTTGCACTGACCCCACTTGCCAGCCAGCCTTGGCCTCAGGTCCCAGAGCCTGGCCTCCTGGTGGGGAGGGCATCAGCCGAGCACCTGCTCTAGACACGCTCCAGCTCCTGGTCTGGCTCCGGCTCCTCCTCCTCGTCCTCCTCGTCGTCGTCTTCGTCATCCCCACAGGCCTTGTCCAGTGGCGCCTCACCATCACGGGCCAGCTCCTCCACGTGGGCCAGCATGTCGGCCATCAGTGCCTCCTCCAGCCGCTTCCGCACCTGCTGCACCAGCTCCTCCTGCTTCCTGGAGACACAAATGCTGGCCAGGGGAGGGTGTGGGCATGTCCAGCCCCAGCACCTCTCGCCCTCCCTGCTGTGCACAGAGCACCCTGCCATGGGGAGACTTGGGCTCCTCATCTGCCTCTGCACACCGAGGAGCTGCGCGCTGGCCACCCTGGGCTTCCCCCTGCTGGCTCGAGCCTGCCCTGTCTGCCACCTCACGGCAGCTGCTGCCACCACTGCCCTGCGCCCCGCAGCTCCTTCTGACCAGCAAGAGCATCAGCACCACCAGCGGTGCTGCCCACCCACTGTGCTCCTCCTCCTTCATCCCAGGTGTTTCCTTTATGGTCACTTAGCAGTGACCAGTGTCCAGCCATGGTGTTAGGTAAGCGCCCCAGCTCCCTGTGCCAGGCTCAGACAGTGCCCGATCCAGGAGGCTGCCCTTTCTCTGCCCTTGCTTCTGACACCGCAGCTGTGAAGCCGGCAACCAGGTCCCCTGGCTCCCTCCACAGGCCCCTGCCTGGCCTGCACCTAGGATTCCAACACTCTGCACCTTGCTGTGGCCACTTCTCTTCTAAAACTCTGGCAATGTCAGCAGAAATGTCTAAGTTTTGGGGGAAACTGGGAATGCACAGGTGCTGGGGGCAGGGCCCTGAGAGACAGGTGCAGTAGGGACAAGGGCCACCAGCTACCTGATGTCCTCGTCAGTCACCATGAATGCTTTGCACAGGGGTTGCGTGGTGTTCAGCCACACACCAGGGTTCTTCTCCACGGCGGCTGAGAGCTGCCCCGTGATGGGCATGGTGCTGGTGTGCAGGGCGCTGGCAATGGCCGACAGCAGCGTCTCATCCGTACAGCCTGGGCCCACCCCTAACAGGTGAAGAGGAAACAGCCCGGGCAGGGTGGGGTCACACGGCTGCTTGCTCAGCACTCAGATGGGGGCTCTACCTTTCTCCAGCTTGGCTCTCCTCCCACACTCCCTCACCTGGGCACCATGCCTTTCACAACAGGAAGAATGCAAGCCTAGCACACCGCTGAGCAGCGTGACAGTGACTTCAAAATGCAGGAGCAAACCCAGACATCCCTGCAGACCTTTTGGTGGACCCCAGGGCCTTGAGCATGGCAGGTAAGGGCTCTACCACCGAGCCACATCCCAGCCTTCGGGAAGTTCTTAAGACACCTGGAGGCAAGCAGTGTCCCCCGGGGTGCTCCAGAGATCAGAGGAGACTCGGTCTCCACGGCCACATGACGACGGGCAGAAGCGGAGGGCTGGGGCTCTGCTCACCCTGCAGGCCTTTGGGTAGGTCCATGGTCCTGACCAGCTCCTCCGCGATGTCAAAGGCACTCAGGCCGCTCAGCTTCTTCTCCCAGAACAGCTGCCCAGGCGGACAGGACAGACAGGTCAGCCAGGCCACGGGGGTGGGGGAATGTGAAGGATGGGGAGGTGCGGAAGGGGGGGACAGGACACACCAAGCCAGGCAGGGCCAGGGTTCCCATGACCTCCTCATGACACTGGGCCCCTGGGCATCTCCCCTGCCTGCCCCAGGCGCCTACCACGCCCAGACCTCCAGTGGGCAGTGTAAGTTAGTACTCAAGACAGAAAGGTTTTCTTTTTGCTGTTGTGGCTTTTCTGGCTACAGAACCCAGGGTGCTCTACCACTGAGTTATTCCCCAGCCCCTCTGTATTTTCTATTTTGAGATAGGCTTTCGCTAAATTGCCTTGAAACAGCTTCATCTTCTCTCAGCCTGCAGAGTGCCTAGGACCACAGGTAGCCATGGCACCTGGCTTGGTTCTGTGTTTTTTTTTTTTTTTTTTTAATGTACCAGGGACAGAATCCAGACCTTTTATTTACTTTTAAAATTTTGAGTCTGTGCAGGCCTCTGGGCCCTCCCTGATTAGTTGCTTGGGGCCTCACAAAATTGCTGAGGCTGGCCTTGAACTTGAAACCCTCCGGCTTCAGGCTCCCCAGTCAGTAGCTGGGATTACAGGCGTGTGCTGCCAGGCCCACCTGGGTTCTGCTTTTTAAAAAGCAGATTAGAAAGCCATTTATGTAGCATGCTGTTCTTTTGTAGTGCTAGGCTCCAAAGTCAGGTCCTAGAGCAGCTGAGCAAGTTCTGCCACTGAGCTACGGTGCCCACAAACTGAGCGATCTACTTTGGAACAGAGAAGCAGAAGGGAAGGCCGCACGTGGGGAGCTAGTTCCTGCAGAGCAAGGCTCTGGGAAGCAGTGCGGCACTCCCAAGAAAGCCTCCCTTTAAAAGTGGGAGCCATGGGCTCACCTGCCGGGGCTGGTCCACAGCCTTCTGTGGGTCACTCTTCACCTTGTTGCTGGGGTGGTTGGTGATCTTGGTCACAGGCTGCTTAAAGATGGACGCTGTCTGCCGCACAGGCAGCGCTGTGTTCAGGTCGGGCTTGCCCTGCAGAACAAGGTACTCCARCAAGGTGGCCAGCTGGGCTCCATAGGCTGCCCGCGGTCATGCCCACCATGGCCAGATTGGGGGTGGGCTCAGGCCCCTCTCCAGGGGCCACCTCTGCGCCATGCGGCYGCCTCTCCGGGCAGCACCTTCCCCAGTGGCGCTGGCACCACCCCGACTTACCTTGACCTGGTTGGAGGAGTCGTAGCGCACGCGTTGGCGGCTCTTGTTCATCTTGCTCATCAGCATCTTGCCGGTGCGGAAGTCAAAGGTGCTCAGGTCCATGGAGCCCCCCAGGTAGCGCGCCAGCTGGGGCTTGCTGCGGAACTTCTTCCCACTGGGGCTGCGGGCAGAGGCGGGTCGGCGCAGGCCTCTGGGCCTGCCAGACCCAGCTAGACCGCCAGGAAGCCCCTCGGGGACCCTCCCACCACCAGGGTGGAGGGCAGCTGCCGGACAGTCACCATGACCTCCTGCACTGTGGTTCACAAGGAGACCAGCCTGAGGGGCATCCCTGGGAGCTGGCTCCTTTGGGTGGTTACCTGGGGGGAGGCTGTGCAGGGTGCCCTGCTCACTCCAGGACACCCATCTATGGAGTCACCCAGCTGTTTTGTTGTTGTTCTGCACTACTGGGGACTGAACCCAGGGGGTGCTCTTCACTAAGTTTCACACCCAGCCCTTTATTTTGAGGCAGGTTCTGAATTGCTGAGGCTGGCTGAAAGCTTGCAGGATCCTCCTGCCTCAGCCTCCTGAGCGGCCGCAATTACAGGCGTGTACCACCACCTGAGTGCTGTGCATGCCACCTGCCACCACCCTACAGAACACCTACTGCAGAGCCAGCATCACCAGCAGGCAGCATGGAGAATCTGGCTGCTCCTCAAATGACCTAGCCACTCACTCCTAGACCTGGTGTGAAAACATGTCACATGGAGATTTGCTCATGAATGCCCAGAGCAGCATGACTCAATGCCCAAGGGCAGGAACAGCCCCAGTGTCTGAATGGACGGACAGACACACACCTGCAGTGTGGATGGACCTGAGGACCTCATGCTCAGTGAGAACCAGACACACACACACAAGGCCACACAGTGTGTGACTCCAGTGACAGGGAACATCCAGAACAGGGGAGTCCAGACATGATGTGGCTTCTCAGGTACCTGGGAGGGAATGGGTGACTACTGTGGAGGCTGGCTTCCTGTTGTGGTGATGGAAATGTTACTAGTTAATGCTCATGGTTACACAGCGTCGTGGTTAAATACCACCAAAGTGTGCACTGACCTGGATGTTTGAACTATGTGGCATGTGGTATCTTCAAAAAGTCATTAAAAAGTCGTAAGAGCATGTATGGTGCTCACTAGGTCAGATGTTCAAGCACAAAACTTATACAAACTCAGTAAATAGCGCTTGTTAATAATTTAGTCTGAAGGCCAGGATGTGGCTCAGTGAAGTACCTGCTTAGGTTGGGGATGGGTTCCATCCCCAACCCCAAGAGGAAGAGGGGAAAAAACTTTGTTTCTCCAGCAGAAAGTTTAAGGCCAGTCTCAGCAATTTTTCAAAACTGTCTCAAAATAAATAGATAAAAAGGGCTCTGGACATGTACCTCAGTGATAGAGCACCCCTCAGTTCATTCCCTGTGAGTGTGTTTTGTAGCTGAGATTAGTGGTGGCTCACCTTGTCCTTCTCCCCTGTAAACTTCTAGGACAGGATCCTGACCTAGCCCTGGGTAGATGCCAGAAAACAGGACAGCTCATGGTCCAGTCCAGCCAAGAGGAAACCCAACCCTGCAATCATGGAGGGAGACTCAGCTACCCTCTGGCACAGCAGCCCCCAGCCCAGTGTCACGAGGCACTGGCCAATACACAGATCCTGGGAAGGTATGTTTTGCACTCGCAGGGAAACGGGATGGTGCCCAAGGACCTGGTGGGGCTCGGACACATATTCCAGGACCAGGCACCAGGGAGGGCACTGGGGCACAGAGAACCTGTAAGTGCCTGGTGTCCTGAGGGATAGAGGACCCCAGAGATTCACTTCTGCAATTATGCTGTGGGCTGATGTCAAAACTGAGTGCACATGTCCAGGCTTTATACAGAAGCTGAGGCCCTGACCGGTCCCAGACACAGCCACAGAGAAGGAAGAGACCCCAGGAAACGCTTGCCCACAGTCCTTTCCTCCACGTGCCTACCTTCAAGAGACCGAGAACAGGAAAATACAGACACAGAACTCAGCCTAGTGGTTGCTTACAGGGCTTGGTACAGCTAGGGGCTCAGGGCAATAAAGTTACAATGGTCAAGGGCTTCCTTCAGCAGTGATGAAAATCCTAGAACTGAGTCTGGTCATGGCCACACACGTCTGAAAACATTCTAGAACACCACTGACTTACACACAGTGGGTAGACGGTACAGCACATGAACTACGTCTTGTTAAGCTGAAAATGAACTGCAAGTAGACAGCGTGGCAGCTGCTCAACTCTGATTGTACAAAACTACCATGTTTACAGGTTAAGAATAACTTATGAATACGAATGGTATCAAATTTTTGAAAAAGATTATGCATATCTGTATTGACACAGAAAGATGTCCCTGTTTTTTTATTGAAAGAAAAGTGAACAGATTTAATAAAACCAGATACATGGGATAAAAATGAGCACAGAAGCCTGAGCTCTCTTATGCCAAGACTGGAGACAGCAAGCAGGCCAAACCCCAAGACTGAAGTCCAGGGTAAGGAGCACCCCAAACCTGCACCTTGGAGGGCAGCTCTGGAATGGTCAACTTCATTTCCTACAGCTAGATCCCTACATCTGGAGGACGCAGAGGGACCCCGGCTGACCCCTAAGAAGCTTCAGGGTAGATGGGAATAAGAAATGTGTGACGCGATCAGGACACTGGCCAACCTGACCTTGGTTCAGCTCCTGAACTGCAGCCAGCCCTCAGGTTCTCGGGCCTTGCCTAGGTGTCTCCTGTTCCCCTGTCATTTCCTCAGGGGGTCCTCCAGGGCTCCCCAGCACCCCATAGATCCCTGCAGCTCAGTGTGGAGTGGTGGCTGGTGCTCTGACACCAGAGGGATGGACCCACTCTCCGTGCCAGCTCAGCGGCCGCCCCAGCCCAGCAACTGCTGCAGAGGTGTTAACCAAACAAAGGACCAGATAGGCAGACACAGACCAGAGTACCAGTGTTCTTGGAATGGCTCTGGAGAATCCTGGCCTGAAGCCTCTTCACAGGCCCAAAAGACAGAACCCCAGGAATTTCAGCTTTCTAAAGAATTGGGGTAGGGGGATGAAGTCACAGGAGAGGGGACAAGGGAAATATACAGTGTCCCTCTGCTAGCAGCCCCATCATTCAACTCCTACACCTTTCGGGGCTGACAGTCACACCTTCCCTTGCTGTCCCTACACTTTTTTGAAATCAGACTCTAAACGTATCCTGATCCTGTAACCACACTTCCAAACACAAGCCACCCCTTACTCTACAGCCCAAACAGTGGACAGGAAAGAACCACAGAGCTCAGCTGATGAAGGGCTGGCTGGCCCTGGCTCCACACCTGCTCACCCATGCATTGGGAGCTGCACCCCCAGCACCCAGGCTGGCATTCTGCAGATGGCAGGCACCCCAACACAAGACAAGGAAGGGGCAATTAAAAAGTGATGCAGAATCAAAAGCATCTTCCAGGCTAGGGCTGTATCACAGTAATAGAGGGTTTGCCTAGCATGTGGGAGCCCCTAGAGTAGAGCTCCAGCACCAAAAAGAAAAAGGGGCATCTTTCAAAATTAGGGAGAAGAAACACAGTACGTGATGGCCTGTCTGAGCAGGGATACTAGCAGGTGACTAATTCTTTGTTCCACCAAAGGGGTCCTTGCTGCCTTTCCTGGTCAAGACCAGCTCCTCCTTCCAATCTAGGGTTGAGGGCTCTCAAAAACACTGACCACCAGAAGCATCAATGCACTAGTCTTAAATGGGTTCCTAAGTAGCAGTAGTAGCATTCTCAGGCCTGGGGGTACACATGAGGGACAGTGGCCTTCAAACATTTCCAAACGTGGGGTCCCCCCTCAAAAGCAGGGAATCCCAGTCACCCTAGGGAACACACTCCCAGGACTGAAACGGGCCCAGGACTGTGCATCTTGAAGCAGGTTAGCTCCAGTCCCCCGCAACGAGCACTGCTCCCCGAAATCCCGGCTTGGCCACCCGCCTCGGGCTCCGCGGGACCCGGGGAACACACCACGGGAGCCAGAGGGAGAGCCCAGCCCCCACCCCCACCCGCCTCCCAGCGCGTCTGGCCACTGCCGGGCGCCCCTAGCCTAGAGCGCACGTTCCCCGCGGCAGCCAGTACAAAAGCTTCAGCCGCCGGGTGCTAGAGCGCCATGCGGCCGCGCGCCACACGGCGCACGCTCACTGAGCCGCGCATCCGCGAGCACGCACGCGCATTAGGCCGCCGTGCGCTAGGCGGGCGGGCACACACGGTCTACGCACGCTCGCACGCACGACGCACGCGCGCGGCCCAGGCCGCGGCCCAGGGCAGGGGCGCCCAGGCCGCCGCAGAGACCGCTGGGAGGCGCCCGTTGGGGCCCTGCGCGGCCGGCGCGCTCATTCACCTATAGTAAAAGACATCCCTGTGGCCGGCCGACAGCCCCGACCTTCTGGGCACTTCTTCCCTCTCCCAGCCCTGCGGGAGCGCCGGGCACTCCCACCTCTTCCGCTCCATCACGCCCGGCTCCTCGGCCCGCCTCCGGGCCCGCTGCCGCCGCCGCCGCGACCCCCGCTCGCCGCCGCCTCAGCTGCCTCCGCCGCCGCCACTTGCCGCGGCTGTTCCGGCCCGCAGGCCCCCGCCCTCCGCCCCCAGCCGGGCGCGCGCCGGCTTTGCCGCCCTCTCGGCCCCCTCCCCGCGCTCGCCAGCCCCCGTTCGGGGGGCCGCTCCGCCCACCCGCCCGCGGGGCTCGACTGCGCAGCCGCGGCGTAGCCCCCGCCCCGTGGAGACAAGGCCAATCGGTGCGCGGCTCGGGGCGGGGCCGGGTGTGCGCATGCGCTCTTTGCTCTCGGGCTCCACGCGCTGGTTGGCCCTCTGTCCCGAACCTCGGAGCGTCTCGGTAGCGCGGCCGCTGAGGAGCCGAGGTGGCAGGCTCGTACCCTTCCCGCTCGGCCCTTCTCCACCCTCCAGACTCTTCACGAGCATCCAAGTCCTGCCAACGCCAACGCTTTTTCGCGGTGCCGGGGCTCTAACCCTCGGGCTCCACCGCCGACGCAGTGCGCCTCTGAGCGCCCCTCCACCTGTCCCGTCATCTCGCCCAGAGGGGCCCAGGCCTGCGCGTGGGACGGTCTCCCATCCCCTGCCCCACCCGACCAGGGGGATAGGAGGTGGAAGGGGTCGCTCTGGCTCGACGCGCGCCCAGGGGCAGGTGTTGGAAAATGGACTACCTTTCCTCCGCTGCAGCTGCTCTGCAGTCACCCGGAGAAGGTCCCTGGTTCTAAGGAGCCAGATGGTGGCGTTGGGCCAACCCACGGCTCAAAAGACGAAATTAACACGTTTAGCCTGAAGGTCTTAATTGGCTTCATGCGTGATTCCAGCACCGGGCAGCCCCTAGTTCTGTAAAAGAACAAGTGATCCCACGGGCTGAGCGCAGGCTGCAGACCAGGAAGGGCTGAAGCACACGGAAACACGGGGCTGGTCGGTCAGAGCCTTGTCGCGCCCGCTGATCACACTGGCTTGCTTGAGGTTTTGGCTGTTTTCTCTCCTGACCTCTGGGAAGATCGGAGTTTAGTTTTGGCTCCGTGGCCCTGAATCTGACTCCATTTTAGTCTAAACTGTTGGGCCTCGAGTGTGCAGGAGTGCACTCTAAACCAGGATGACCTACCACCTCCAGGTCCTTAACCCCATTTACAGTCCCCTTTTCCGTGGAAGGTGCCGTGTCCACAGGTCCTGGGGTTGTGACTTGCACCAATTGTGGGGCATTATCCTACAAGCCCTGAAAAAGCTATAACTGGACAGATGCACGTGGCACGGTGTGGGAAGACAGATGGATGATGACAGGGACTTGGGTCCCACTCAGCCCCCTCTCCTCTACCCACAACAGCCCTTGCTCTGGACAGTGCTGCCCTGGGGCAGATGGTTTCTCTCTCCCCACACCAGGAACTTGAGGGGTTCAATGCTCTGCAGCTCATTGGTGGCTCAAGACCCAGAGGCCCATAGTGCAATGGCAAGTGGGGCGATCTGGAGAGGGGCCAGTGCTAGTGTGGAGACTGTCTATGCCTCGGACYGTGGTTGCCCACCCAGCACAGCAACGTGGTGAGACGGGTAGGGTGAGCCCTGTCAGCCTGCAGGGGAATGCTTTTCTTTGCCAAGTTGCTCACTCCAGGGCTGGGTCAGGGTGAGCAGAGGGTGGGACTGGAACACCTGTGTAAAGCATGGAAGCGGATGAGTGCTGGTGAGCAAGCAGAGCCATCCGAACCCTGCCCTTGGCTGGCAGGAGTGTGAGAGGGGGCAGTAGTGCTGGAGACCAGGGACTAGGAAACCTGGCAGCTCACTCCTAGGCACAGACCTAGGACCTGAAAGGAGAGGCTCACACAGGCTTGTAGGAAGTCTCACGGCAGCCAAAGGGCAGGAGCAGCCCAAGTGTCCACCCACACCTGGAGCATCACTCAGGCATGTGGAATTGCTGCACTGGGGACAGACCCCAAGGACACTGTGCTCAGTGGGAGAACTAGATACACAAGGTCACATTGCTGGGTGCGATGGCATGCTCCTGTCATCCCAGTGACTCAGGAGGATCTCAAGTTTGAGATCAGCCTGGGCAATTTCACCAGACTGTCTCAAAATAAAAAGGGCTGGGGATGTAGCTATTATGGTTTGGAGGTGAGGTGTTCACCAAAAGCTCACATGAGACACTGCAAGGTTTGGAGGAGAAATGATTGGGCTATAGCCCTGACCTAATCAGTGTATTGATCCCTGATGGGATTAACTGAGTGGGAACTGGAGGAGGTGGGTCACTGGGGATGTGGCTATGGATCTGGAGAGTGGAGTCTCAGCTTTCTGACCACCATGTGCGCTGCTCCCCTGCACCAACTGTTCCACCATGATATCTACCATACCTCGAGCCCCAAGGAATGGAGCTGGCCTTCTCGGGACTAATAACTCTGAGGACTGTGAGCCCATAAACTTTTCCTCCTTTACAGTTGTTCTGGTCTGGCTGGAGCTAGGAAGTGATAGGAATGGTGGCAAGAGACTTCTGAGATCAGGTTGTAAGAGGACAGTGACTTCCTCCTGACTCTCCCTGAGGTTGCTCACCTTGGGGAGCCAGCACAGCACGCTGGAGGCCCACCTGGTAGGAGCTCTGGCTTCCCACCCGCAGCCACAGAACACACAGCCTGCAGGTGGCTCCTGCAGCCCCCACTAAGCTTCCAAGGGTTGCCTGGCCTGTGTCCTGACTGCAGTGGCAGCACCCTGGGCCAGACCCACCCAGACACATGGCCCTAAACTCGTCCAGGAGACTGTGTGTCTATTTGATGCCAATGAAGTTGTGGGGTTCTCTGTCAGGGCAGCGGTAGAGGAACACATTGCACAGTACCAACCACTGAATATTTAAATATTTTAAGTACTCAGACAATTTCTGCCAGTCATTGGATAAGCCTCCTAGATTTGCAAAATTATGGAGTTGGAAAAAGCCCTGGTCAGGCAGGCCTCGGGGACTTCAGTCGGGGAACTGAGTCACAGCATGACCGAGACCCAGGCAGAGTAGTCCGCAGAGCAGGCTGATGACCTTCCAGCCATGAGGTGAGTCCTTGCATCCATCCTCTGGGCTTGGGCTGCTCTGGACATACACCTGGGGGTGGGGACAAGGCAGGGTGAGTGGCCAGGGACACCAGCCACCAGACACAGTGAAATGGAAGGTGGTTCTGGGCTTTATGGCCCAGGTTCATATTGGCTGCCTATCCTTGGCACTCAGTCTGCATCTGTGACGTGGACCTATGACACAGGACTATCACATGTGCAACAGGCCATGACAGAATCAAAGTGGTCAGCACAGTGGACAGAATAGCCCATCCAGAAGTCCAGCCTTAACTTCCCCATCTGTAAAGTGGGGCCTCCCACCCTGCCCCAGACTGGGTAACCACTGCCTAGCTCCAGATTGCTAGGGGTTGTTGAGTTCTGAGGGGCACCCCCCACCCCCAGCTGGGCCACCAGGCAGAAGTGCCCAAGCTCTACCCTCCTGCAGGGCTCTCCAGGACAATCCCAGAAGCCTGGAGAGCCCCACTTTACCCTCCAGCAGCCACTTAGTCCACCCACCCAGTGCCACTAAGCTGAGGGTCCAAACACCCTGGCCATGACTCACCAGAGGGGTCCTCGGAGGGCCARCTTAGCTAGTCTTCCTTCTTGAACTTGCCGTTGATGTAAGGCACCCAGTCCAGAATCAGCCGCCAGTCTGTGGCCCACACCAGCCCCACAGTGCCCACAGCGCCCCACATGCTGGCTGTGGGCATCCTGTGAGAAGAGTGGCCATTAGGCCCTGCCTCAGACTCTCCCCTGGGACCCACCATGGGCACCTCTGACCCCAAGCCACCCTCTGTCAAGCACCCCCGTGGGCCAGCCTCTACCCAGAGCTGAGGGCCCCTCAGGAGGGAAAGGAGGAAGACCAGGCTGGGTCCTCAAGAGCACCAAACCTGCTGCCTGCCAGCCGTCAGGAGGCCTCAGCAGGGAGCAGCTCCCCTAGCCATGAGTGCGCCACGCCAAGAGCCATGCTGGAGCTGCAGAGAACTGTGCATCAGAGTGGCCCTGGGGACCCTTGCCTCATCCACCACCCCACCCTATCTGCTTTCACAGTGAGAGTCTACCTCAGGCATGTGCATGCGCTGCTGGGGATGGAGTCTGGGCCTCTCACACACCAGGAAGTGCTCAACACCAAGCAACCCTGGCACCCCAGACAAATCATAATTGTACAGTTTACAGGTAACAAGGTGCTGTATGGATGCACATGTACAGCATGGCAGGGCCAAACAAATGACACGCGAGGGTTCATCTGGAGAATGCTGCTGCTGAAAACCAAGTTGGCAACCACCACGGCAACAGGTGCTTCTTCAAGGCAGGCACCTTGAGCAGGCAGCTCCTCACTCACTGGCCTGCATCTTAGCAGGACTGAGGGAGACCCAGTGATTTCACCACTGTTTCTCAGGGAGGGAGACCAAGCAACGGAGGGGGGGAGTCGCTTCCCTGAGGACACACAGCCAGGGAGGTTCGGAGCCCTGGCATTCCAAGGACACACTCTGGGCCAGTGCAGCATGTGCCTAAGGGTTCCCAGGGCTGTGCTTGTGTTCTGTGGCCTCCGAGAAGAGGAGGACGGTCGGCCAGACCCACATGCTCCTGCCCTCGCAGAACGGACCCAGGAGGCACTTCCAAGGAACAGAAGGTGTGAGGGTGCACCACTTCTGAGATTTCAGATGTAAAAAGCTGTGGCTTCACCATGCGTGCCTGCACTCCCCATCCCACCGACTGGGCGAGGCTGGCTGTCCATCACCTCCCAGAGGCCACAGGGGAGAGCCTGGAAGAGGGACTGCAGCAGCAGACCATCAGATGAGCAAGGGTTTAGCCCGGTGGTGCCCGAGTGCCTGTCCTGCAGAGACTGCGCGACACTCAACACTGCCGTGGGAAGCAGCTGACCTTGGGAGCCATTTGGCACGCAGCAGTGGATAACTACAGAAGGTCTGTCCCATTGGTGGTCTGAACCCAAGTCCCATGTCTGTGGGTCACAGTAAGCCTCATGCCTGGGATGTCAGAGAGGGATGAACAACCCACACATAGACACCCCTTGCCTCAGGCTGCCTCACTGAGACT